CTCATTGTGTGTGTGTATGTGTGTGTGTGTGTGTGTGTGTGTGTGTGTGTGTGTGTGTGTGTGTGTGTGTGTGTGTATTGTGTATGTATGTCTCCTCCCAATAATAATACTTAGCGGTATCTCACATTACGTATTTTTCTGGTTTATTTCTGTTTATTCCTGTTTGTAATCTGTAAGTATATAAGCTCCTCAAATATAGGAATTGTGTCAGGTTTGTGGTTGTGTTCTGATGTCTAGAACTGAACTATACATAGAAAGAACTCAAATAATATCTGCTGAATGAATAAGGAGAGGAAGAAGTGATTTTTCCAGAAATTTGGAGAATTTATAGTTTTAAATTTTCAATGGCCCCTTCCTAGGCATGCCCAGTTAATGTTTCTATTTTCTTTTCCTTAAATATGATACAGATCCCATGTGTTACATACTGAGTAACTTTCCTTCTTCCTACATTCTGGACCTCAGGAAGGGAATTTCCTAAATGAGAAAGAAGATGTGAGTCCTCCTGGAGAGATCTCCCCCATTCCATCCATCCTTGTTCCTCTGTAGAAACTGGTATTGAGTGAGTGTGTTATTCAGTAAATATAGCTCTAAGGAGACCTCAAGGGGTTGTTTTTTACTAAGATCTAAAATACAGATTTATCTTTTTTTTTTTTTTTTCAAAATAACCATGTCTTTTAGCCAGACATCCTATTGGACTTCAAGACATTTCAGCTCACCTATCTGCTGCAAGCAGCCATCAGGAATTCCTCTAGAATCCCTAGGGCTCTGTATTCGTCTTTGTGTAATCCCTTCCCTGGAGAGGAAGCTGGATTTAATAACCCAATGTGGAAGTGATGGGATGTCACTTCTGAGAATGTTGTAAGAACAGGAGCTGTCATCTGGCATGCTCTTGCACTTTCCCTTGGATGCTTATTTTGGGAGAAGTAAGCTGCCAGATCATGAGGCAGCCTTGTGAAGTCCACACAGGAGACATTTCCCCTTGCTGGGCTAAGAAGTAACTGTAACTCTGGCTAACACCTTGATAGAAGCCTCATGGGAAGTCTTGAGCTAAAAATAACCAGCTAATCTGCTCCTTGGCTCCTGACCCATAGAAATGGCACAATAGTAAATGTTGTCCTCAGCTGTGAAGTTTTGGGGTAATTTGTTACATAGCAGTAGATAACTGATACACCATGCTCTAGTAGAGCATTTGATTGGCACTCCACTTGTGCATAGTTTTTTTTTTAAGGCATTTCTGATGTGAAGTTAACTTGAGATGTTTCTTCCAAAGGCTAAAAACACATTCAAAGAGAACTTTTATTTCCTTATCTAAGTCAACATTTTAAATTTGTGACATTTGGTTGTGTGAGTGTATATTTAAAATAATGGCCAAATTAAAATTTTTAAAAAACCTCTTTCATTTGCTGCATGTCTGCCAGACAATTCTCTACACACTTTACACATATTACCCTATCCAGTCCTCTGCTGCCAGCTGCTGCCGTCATGTTACTATACCATGGGAGACGAAGAAGGATGAGCAGTGTGTGCAACGTTTGCAACCTTAGACAGCTGGTTATACAGAAGAGACAGCTCGGCTGGGTCTAAACTTAAATCCCCAACCACTCATTTGCTGTATCTTAAAAAAAGAGATGGGTCATTTGAAAGACTGAAACAGTCCAAAGCCTTAGTGAAAAACTCCAGTGTTAGAAGATTCACAGAACCAGAACTAGAGATCGCAGGATTCCAAGATTAGAACAATCTTTCATGGACTCTCAGAATGATTGTGTGGGATAAATGAGATAACACACAACAGATGACTAGTGTACACAAATTCTCTTTTCCTCTCTGAAAAGAGGTCTTGTGGATCACTAGAAAAATCCGCAAGCACTCCTTGATCAGATTCAAGAGTTGTGTTAGGGTCTACTGATCATCAAACTCATCAACACATTCTGGCAGCAGGAGTGGCAAGAATTATCACTCTGAGCCAGGTGTGATGGCACAGGCCTTTAATCCCAGCACTCAGGAGGCAGAGGCAGGCAGATCTCTGTGAGTTCAAGATCAGCCTGGTCTACAGAGCTATTTTCAGGACAGCCAGGGCTATATGGAGGAACCTTGTCTCAAAAAAACAACAAAAATAAAAAACAAACAAACAAAAACCCCTCACTCTGATATAGTTTCACTTGAGCTAGGGTCCCAGCAGCTTCCTACGGGGTGATTGCCAGAAGAAAAGCCAGAGGAACTGTAGCATCAACTAGAAAATTAAGAGTATCTCAGGTACTTCAGAGGACATTTATGTGACTTGGAGTCAGGAAATGTAGGTCTGAGCCTTTACTTTGCTAGTACCTTTTATCGTCACATCAGGGACAAGCCAGATCCCAGCTTGGACACTGGGCTATTTTGGAGTTCATCTTGCTCAAGACTCATGAGATAGGATATGAGGTGACTTTGTATGCATTCTAACTTGGCACTGAGAGTTCTTGCCATCTGGCCATGTGCCTGTAAAATTAATTGCAGTCACACTGTGCTCAGAAATTCTGGAACTTTCTAAGTCAGGATCTAGAGTGCTTTAAAAGGACTTCGTTTTTCTGTCACAGCCCCCTCCCCCCTCAAAAAAAAATCTAGTCTAATCAATGGCACCTAATGAGAGAGAAGATTCATTCTGACCTCTGTTCTGGCATGTGTTCATTACTTAAAAGAAATGCCTTCTAGAGCCTGCCAGACCAGACAGGTGTATCACATTTTTATCAGAGTCCAAGCAATCCCACAAAGCTAGCTTTAGTGCAAACTGAAATGACACATGGACAGAGTCTAAATGAGTCTAAGCTGAGTGAATATTCTGTCTTCTTAGTTAAAAATCATGTGGATCTGTTAAATGCCACTTCTGAGCTTGTTTATGGGTTTGCATATTAATCTCCCTGAACATACATCTTTTAGTCTGCCTATCATTTGCTGAAAATTAAGCTGTGGGTAAGAAACAAAGCCTACGCTCTCCATTGTGTTCAGAATAAAGACAGCAAGCTCATAATTTGGCATCAGAGTACATATATATATTCCTACACAGTTTCACCTCCCTTCTCTCCTCCCAGTCCCTTTCCCCTACCTCCCCTCTCTCCCAGATCTATTCCTCTTCTCTTTCCCTTCAAAAAAGGGGAGGCTTCCCAGCTCCCAGGGCTATCAACCAACCATGGCATATGAAGTTGAGTAAGACTGGGCACATTCACTCACATTAAGCCTGAACAAGGCAACCTAACAGGAGGAAAACAGTCCCAAAAGCAGGCAAAGAGTCCGAGACAGCCCCTGCTAACACTGTTAGATGTCCTACAAGAACACCAAGCTACACAACCACAACATCTATGCAGAGGACCTAGGTCAGAACCATACAGGCTCCCTGATGGTTGGTTCAGTCTCTATGATGCCCATGAGCCCTGGTTAGTTGATTCTGGGGCCATTTTCTTGTGGTACCCTTGACCCCCCCCCCCCCCCCCCCCGTCTCATATAATCCTTCCTCCCCCTCCTCCACAGGATTCCTCAGGTCCTCCTAATGTTCGGCTGTGGGTCTCTCTATCTGCTCCCACCAGTTGCTGGATGAAGCCGCTCTGATGGCAATTATGCTAGAGACCAAGATTTTTTTTTTTTTGAAAACCTACTATGCACCAGAGTCCATACAAATAGCATTTTTCATATGATGTCTCTTCTTCAGCTCTCATTATAATTGTTATTATCATAAATGAAGAAACATCTTTTCTGGAGAGTCAGTAGCAGAGCTAGGGTTTGAACCCACAACTAATTAGTGCAAAACCTCTCTCTTCCTATAACACCAATTCATTCAATTCCTTTTCCAGCAGGATTCATTTAGACCCTACAAACTTTCTACTTCAATCTAATAAATGAGCCTGAATTGTGTCCAAAGAATTAAAAAGTTAGTATAGCAACTACCCAATTGTTTACTTCATATTGACAGTGATAATGATGATGACCAAACTTGTCTCTGCATAAGAGGAGTTTCAGGGACTAGGAGGAGCCAAATAATTTGGAATTCTGTACATATTTTAAACTATCTGGATCACTGTTTAATATCAAATGCCTTTTCTTTGAACTGCAAGCTTCAAAACACTCCTAAATTTTCTCTTTCCTTATAAAGTGTGGCAGTATGATGCAGTGGTTATACTGACCACAGCCAGATGCCGCATCTCTTGTCACATGCTTACTAGCCATGTGGCCCCTGGAATGTTGTAACCTACTAACATGCCTCTGTTTTCTCATCTGAAAATATAGATGACAGGAGATAATGAGGTAGTTTTAAATGCACATAAGTGTAGCTAGAGTTTTCCTGCCTGGCCCACAGTCAGGACAAATCTCTCTCACCTGCCAGTCCCACTGCCGCTCAGACCCGACCAAGTAAACACAGAGACTTAAATTAATCCATTTCTATAAATCTATACCTTGCCACATGGCTCGTGGCTTACCGGCATCTTCACATGCTGTTTCTCATCGTGGCGGCTGGCAGTGTCTCTCTGACTCAGCCTTCCACTTCCCAGCTTTATTCTCCTCCTTGTCCCACCTACACTTCCTGCCTAGCCTATGGCCAATCAGTGTTTTATTTATTGACTAATCAGCAACACATTTGCCATACAGAACATCCCACAGCACATAAGGGCTTTAGAACATCATGTAGCACCTCACTGACATATGGAATAGATGGTACTGGTAAATATTGTGTTTATCTTAAGATTTTTTTCATAGATTTGATAGCAATCCTGAGCTAATCACACTAAAATCAGGGTTAATACTCCTTTGATAATTATGAGGTGGTTGTATGTCTTACAGGACCATACAAAGGAGAAAATCTTCAACCCTCAAGAAATTGTAGATTATCTGCAAAGAATGCAGAAGACCTTGGGTTCTATCCCTAGCACCACACATGTGCACACATTCATGTGCCCCCCACACACACGTGCAGCACACATGTGCATACATATACACACATACGCACAAAAATAAAAAGAGACAAATCCTCTTAATGCAAGTATTAACTATTTTATTGACATATTTACAAAATATTACAAAGTAAAATACCATTCCAGTTCACCATATTACACAGGGGCTACAGACAGGCAAGACAAAGTCCACGGAAAACATTTACTTCTGTCTTTGGTATTAGAAATCTGCACAGCTTGTGGCATTTAAAATCTCCAATACAAAGTACTAAATGTAGACACAGTTGCCATTGGTGATGTCATGAAAAGAGGCTCTTCTGTCCTCTGCTATGAAACTCTGAGGCCAATGAAATGCAACAGGAAGACCACATACCACTTGTGAGGCATGGAGTCTATTGACTGAAATAAACAATACATGCTACAATACTGTCCACAGGAGCCTTTCAGTCTGTGGGAAGCTGTACTCTCCAGAGCGACACTTGCTGACAGTGACAGACAAAACATCCCCGAGACACAGATAAGACTTTCTGGGTAGGAATCCATTCCAAGAGTAGACCTTGCCAGCACAAGTTGACTGTACATATGTTTTATAAAATACATTTTCATGACCATTTACACATATACAAAAGCTTAATTGTTCTAAAACACAATCACAGTTTACATAATCTGAGGTAAAGATCTTGGGTCTATTTAAATGAGAAGTTCTAGCCACCAGGGGTCTCTTGGAGGGAGATGTGTCCATTGAACAAGTTCTGGCACTCATGCGAGCTGGGAGAGGACAGGCTGTCACAGGCCTTTCATGTCAGAGGTGACCAAAAAATCTGGTACAAGAAGCTTCTAGATCATGTCTACGATAAAAATACTTCTATTTTTCCTCCAAGCAGGAACACTTTCTGAATCTTGTCAGAACACAGCTACTGCTATGAAAGAGATAGTCCACCATGGAAGGGCCAAGTTAGCATCTTAATTTGACTGCCTCAAATAGGGACTCCACGCATCTCAGGAGGAAGCTACTTAGACCCCTTACAGAACACAGTGAAGGCTTTGTGAAAGAAACACACGGCAAAATGGATCTCACTACCAATCAAGACATAGCTAGAATGGCTTCAGAAGGGAAAAACAAGGTGCCAAGAGAACACTGGTGTCTTTCCTTCTCTCTTAGAAACAATGGACTTTCCTTCCCAAATCCTCAATAAAGCTCTTTTGTGCTACTATTAAAAAAATAAAAAAAGAATGGAAATAGGAAAATACGCCCTGGATCTTTCCAAGGGGAAGGGAAAGGTTCGTGTTAACAGTATTGCTGCCTACAAGGATGTCCTATGGATTACAGGATATGTCTCTGTAAACACCTCTACCTCACTGGGATTCCTGGCAACTAAGCAGGACCTGCCTAGCCAAGCTCCCTTTGTCAAGCATGACATTTCCAAAACACCCTATGAAATCATGAAAGTTGTGAGGCTTTAATACAAAGACACTTCCTTTCATGTGCTTTTCTTTTTCTTCTTTATAAAGAAGTGTGGAAATACAATCAGGACATCAAATAAATAATTAAAACCCCCTCTGTAATTTATCACTTACGATGCAAACCTGAGCATGAGTCGCTTTCATTTGATCGCAAGTAACATCTGGGGATAAAAGTGTTTGCTAGGCAATGAGTCACCTGTTGAACAATTTAAGACAAGAAATGCTGGATCTTTCCAGCAAGCTGGATCATTCCCAGATGGCAGAACTCTACTTTTTCTTCATGCTGGGAAAAAGCAAAATTAAACTTCTGTTTCTTTGTATCATCAAAAGCTGTAAGAACAAAGTAAATATGCATGAAACGTTTCCTAATGGCTGGCATCCATGGTGCCTGACCCAATGAAGTAGGAGAACCCTGACCTGATGTATTTGCAGGGCTCTTAGGGGAAGAAAAGCTTTTGGTTTTGCCCCGGTCCCTGACAATGACAGACTGGCAGGCTGTTTCTTGCACTGCTCTAGGCAAGCCATTAATCTGTCAGGACCAGCATCTTTAGAAAATCCCAGCATTAAGACTAAGGAGAAAAAAAAAGAAGGGAGGTGTTGAACAGCCAGAAATGCTGCTTTCTAAATACTTCAGTTAACTCATAACACAGTGCAGGCTTCTCTTTACCCCTTCTTGGAGATTTTGGTGCAGGTGGGACCTTACTCATCTTCTTCCACATATGTGGATGGAAACCAGCCCACCTATGAAAGAAAAACAACCAACATATCAACACCTCTGCTGCTTCAAAGGATTCTACAGACAGAATTTTCCTCCTTTTTCTAACACTCTAATTAAGCTGGGGTTTTATGGCCACTGTAGGTGAGGATGATTGGCTTATCAGCTAGAATAGGCCTCAGAGAGACAGTGATAGCAACTAAGGAAGAAAATAAACTTAAACAGAGTTCTAATCCACTAGAACACAAACTAATACACAAATGAGGGCAATATGGGGCTCAACACCATGATTCCCACCTCCGTTGTAGGACAAGATGTATTACAGAGGTACTCTATCCCATTCTTTCCAAGTGGGAGCAGGAGCTTTTAGAAATGCTTCGCGCTCCATATAAACTGCATGCTTTGGCACTTAGCTTCTGAAAAAAATCTGAAATGCTTCTCAAGTCTTCCCACTTGTCAGGCCCGTACATTACTGACCCAACTCATTTTAAACAAAAATGCATGCCCCAGCCTCTGGCAGCCAGGCTCCTGAGAGGAGTTCTACCACAGGAGAGCTGCCAGTGACTGTTCAGCCTTTACACTCATGAAGAACCAACACATTCATAGGGACAACTCACCCTGCCATTGACTTCTCCTCTCCACCAGCCATTTGCACTCATCTTTGTGTAAATCTTCACCATGTCCCCTTTCAATAAGGAGAGTTCCCGCATATCTCTTGCACAGAAGTCATACCGAGCAATGGCAATGCCCAGTACTTTGGGACTTAGCACTGTAAAGAAACAAGGCAGACAGAGTCTGAGTCAGTGTGCAGTTGGTGGCAGCCAGCCATCAGAGCCTCATCAGACCATTGCTATTGGTGCTATCAAATGCAGAGCTGCGAGGTCATTGCAGATTAGTGATAATGATAGTGGAGTTTGAAAACAGCACAGTTACCGTTTCAATCCAATCAGATGTGAGCAAGTTCACTCCAGACAGTTAAATAACTGCTTTTGATGCTCTTAATAAAAGCTTTTGTAAAACTAAAGTCCACCTGGCTAATAACTTAAATGACTTTGTGAATAAATTTGAGATAACTTTAACATAAATTTACAACTGAGGGCACTGTACTCTGATTCTCACAAGAACCTCTGAAGTGAAATTTCTGTGGTTTTTACCCGGTAACTTCTTTGGCTAAACTTGGAGCAACTGAATTCTGGGCATTGATGAAAGTCTGTCAAATTAACATCATCATTTCTAAGTAAGCTGTACCACCACCCAAGCCAAGTCTTTTATGTTTAAACCATCCAGGGATGAACTCAATTATTGTTTCATATACAATTTTCATATATGTGAAGATGTGAAACAGTTTTCATTGAAAGAACACAAAATCCTCTTTTCATGGATGTTTACTGCAATGTCTAATCAAAATCCAGGCATAAAAGTACCATGTCTTCTTTTCCTTTGTTCAGTTTTTCCTCTTTCTTTTTTCTTTCTTTCTTTTCTTTCTTTCTTTTCTTTCTTTCTTTCTTTCTTCCTTCCTTCCTTCCTTCCTTCCTTCCTTCCTTCCTTCCTTCCTTCCTTCCTTCCTTTCTTTTTTTAATATCCTAGGTGGCAGGAGAGGAGTCTGCCCTGTCTGAAAGGGAAACTCCATTCAGGCTAAATGTGATTTTTGGTCTCTAGTGCTTCATAACAGGCTTTTAGTAACATTTCCACCTGTTGCTCTGTGGGGGTCATAAAGTGTTTTCAATTATATATGCACTGATTCTGAGAATCACTCACCAGAGATTGGTGGGACTTTATAAATCTTAAATGGTAAAGGAACTTAAGTGTAAGAAAAAGCAACAAATGGAAACACCATCCATCTGTATTATAACAGTTCCCAGTGCTCAGGTAGCTCATAATGACCCATGTTACCCTGGAAAAGTCCATCCACTTGGCAACAGGGACCTCAGGCCTATCATTCATGGCTTTATAATGACAGCCTTTTTTTAAGTCTCCAGGTGTCCATCATAAGATAAACGAAAGGCAATACTGTAGATTTCAGAACTGTAAAGGGAGTAAAAATAGGTCATTTTATTTTACCATTCAGGACACAAACCACTTTAATGGTTTCCTTACTGAAAATGGTCCCATTGCCAAGGCACTGTTCTTAAAGTCAGTGCACATAAAAACACCCCTGTGATGGAGAAACCCAATTGTAGACTTAACTGTGTGACCTTGCACAGGCCTCTCAACCCCTCTAGGCCACATTTTTCTCATCTATAAAATGAAAGGTTTGTACTAGCTGACTTCTAAGGTCTATTTCAGAATTCTATGTTCTGTTGGAACTTACAGGTTAATTTTTAAAAAACCCACAAGAAAACGTACTTTATCTAGCCTCAGTGCCATATAAATAGTCATTTAACTCTCCAGGTAACAAGAGAAATTCAGATCACAATGCCTGGACACCAGGTAAAGAGCTGTAGAAATGGTGGACAAGGGTCATCATTTTAAGAAATGCATACTGAATCTTATGCTTCTATTTGGAGGGGAAGTTGAGAGTTTGGGGCCCTTTTTACTTTCTTCATGGAAATGAGCAAACACTGATTTTTCTCCACTATGATTTCCAGTCCTCAGAAAGGATGGATGATTTTTCAGAGTACTTCATCTCCTTTTAAATTTCCATTCCCTGACCCATTTCCAACCTCTCTGAACGGAGACATGATGCAATATAAGATGACATATTGAAACTTATGGCTAACACACACACACACACACACACACACACACACACACACACACACACATATACACACGGAATGTCATGGCAAACAATGACTCTGTGGTGGAGAAGAGTGAAATACACGGCGACAATGGAACTCTGGGAATTGTGCTTGAGATGTATTTACATGGGAAGCCATACACAGAAGCCCAAACATTGCATTTGCACACAGAAGCGAGCTGTAGAGACATATAAAAGCAGAAAGCAGTACCTGACCAGAAAGGAGTGGAGGAAGGGGGAACAAAGCTGTAGTCTGGAGGAGTTACAAAAGAAAAGCCACAGAACAGAGGAGGGGCTTAGAGAGGGAAAGAAAAAGAAGCAAAAGAGCATTTAAGAGTTGGCACAAAAACCTCTCAATACAATGACTTTGTTGTTTGTAATCACAAGAAAATTTGTCACATCCAAATTGCAATACCAAGCTGTCTTTTTACCCACTGTTCTCCTGTCACCATTTCTGAATGAGAAACATGCCAGACTTTTACATTTTGATTGACAGTAGTTCTGCAATTCAGAGCTGTCTATCATTTTATAGGCAAACAGCAAACCCACTCCATGTTGCCACCTGAGCCCCATCCATCCAAAGATGGCTTGGTTCTCATTTGTTACAATAACAGGAAGGAAAATTTATTGATATAAATATGTTCCTAATCAAAAACAATATGAATAAGTAAGAGCTTACAAAAACAGTACAGATAAGAGCCTATAGGGCTGTGTCAATGACACATAAAGACACCACGGAAAATCCAAGATATTTGTTAAGTTAAATTCAGACAATTTCTTAAGACTCTCCCTTCCCCTAATCAAGCATGCATATCACAGCTTATTTTCAATAGAGAAAAATAGAATTAGAAATGAAAGCCACCCTGAATCTTATCCTGGAAAATCAAGTTGAAGAGGAGTACAACAAAGACACTGGAAATTGTGCACTCATTTTGTTGTTGTTGTTGTTGTTCACTATATGGCATCGATTAGAGTTGACTGTATTCATTGTCAAGTGGTCCTGAAGTGCTAGTTACTGTTACACAATAAGTTAAGTATATCAATAGTTTAAGTCATTACAGTAAACAAGAGGAAGACACTGATGCTCTCTTTCTTTTGCATCTGAGAAAATCTAGATTCACATATGGCTTTATGGTCCTTATTCTTAACCTCAGCTGCACAGCTCTTTTCAATGAACACTGTGGCTCACACACCCTCTAACATTTAACTTGCTGATTCCATGGTTCCATGAGAACAGGGCAAAGAAGACCTGGGTTATAATCTTTATCCATATATTTATTTTCCCTTTTATCCATTCAACCATGTTCAGTCAGCAGGAAGAGTTCATTTCCCCATCTCCCTTACATTTTGGTAAAACTATATAGTCCTGACCACAGCTATTAAAAGCAAAAACATCATGAAGCAACTCTTGGGATCTTTCCTTTTAGAGTATTCTGTCTTGCTTTCTGACATGTGAAAGTTGCCATCTTAGTCCATAAAAAGGGAGAGTATTACCTCGAGGAAAATAGAGAATGAGCTCAAAGGAAGCTGAATTATTAAGATTCTTTGGAGCACAGGTAACCTGTCCTTTTGGCTAACTCTGAGCTACTTCTACGTTTTTATAGGCTAGAGAAATAAACTGACTTTCCTGACTAAGCCAATAGTTTTGGATTTTCTGTTACTTGTATCTAGACCTAACCTAAAACATTATCATCAAAGATGTAATAAAAAATGGGCTGAGCAAACTGGAATGAGACATACTGTCTTTCCATATACCTCTCTTTAGGGAGTTGCCTAATGCTACAAGCCAGTACTGTTATCTGAAAGTGGGCTCTCTAGGATCCCAACAAACGCAGTGACCTACTAAGTATATTATCAGACTCCAGACAAGCAAACTGGCTGAGGGAATTGTGAGGAGTTCAGTTGTTCTTGAAATCATTGAATGTGAAGCCCTCATACACACAGGGACCGATGTCTGACTCTCTTGTGTCATGAATGGTCTCACATTTTTTTTCTATTCCATCTGCTTGTTCAGTTAAAAAAATACACTGCTACATGCCATCACAGTTAATTTTATAATATGGTAAGTTCAATTACCACCATGCAATATAAATGACAATTCTCTGTCTCTGTCTCTGTCTCTGTCTCTGTCTCTGTCTCTGTCTCTCTCTCTCTCTCTCTCTCTCTCTCTCTCTCTGTGTGTGTGTGTGTGTATGTGTGTGTGTGTGTGTGCATGTGATGTGATGTATGAGTGTGCATGTATACAGAAAACAGAGTTTTGTCCTGCTATCTATCACTCTTCACCTTACTCCCCTGAGATAGGGCCTCTCACTAAACCTGGGACTATGGTGCAGTCAATTAGCAAAGTCCATCAGTCCTTATGTCTCTGTCTCTAACAGCATCAGGTTTGCAGGCTTATATGTGGCTGGCCACACAGTCTTTTAGGTCAGTGCTAGGGATCTGAACTCAGGTCCTTGTGCTTGCATACCAAGTGCTCTGACCCACTGAGTGATCTCCCCAGCCCCTTGTTTTTATCCTCTGGAGGTCATGATGTACCCTCTGCCAGAGAGAAGAGAGGATGACATTTCTAATAAAGTAATCAGCCCATAACTAACCTCACTAAGGACAAACATGTGGTGTCAAGATTGCTAGACTCCTATCCCTTGTCTGTGAGAACTTAGATTAGAAGCCATGTTCTACACGTTGCACTGACAGGTAATGGGATTTTTTTTCCCTTGGACTGTTTTCTATTTGATTCCTTCTCTGGTCCAATTCCATTCATAAAAAAAGACTGCATTTCTCAAAAAAATTCTAATGAAAGTAATGTAAGCTAAGAGCTAAGAGTGAAATATTACAAAAGATAACTTATCTCAAAAGGGAAGAAATGAGAAATCAATGACAATAGAATTAAGTACCATTGAAATAACTTCAACAGTAGGTAGACAAATTAAACAGATAACCAGTCTACAATCAGAAAATCTAAAATGTCTGAATATAGGTAATGCTTTACCAAGGAATGTGAGTCTATGTCAACAGGACTGTAGTGGGTTCCCGCTTTCTCTTATCTAACCTTAAGTACCTTAAAATTATTTGCATTACAATCAAGTAGGTAGAATTCAAAACTTCTTCAATTATATCTAAAATAGTATAATTCTAGGACACTGGAGGGATGGCACAGTGGCTCACAGCACTCGCTGCTCTTGCAGAGAACCCAAGTTTAGTTCCTGTCCGTCACATTGAATAGCTCACAACTGCTTAGAGTGACAGCTTCAAGGGGACTGACATTGTCTTCTGGCCTCCAGGGGCCCCACATCTATATGTAAATACCAGCAAACATACATACATACACATAATTAAAAATAAATGAAATAAAATGGTATATTCCTCCCTTCTGCTGGCTCTGTCATGCTCATTTACTGCCCTGATTAATATAACAGGTTCTTAGATAGACCTTGGCTCTCTTAGCTCCATCCTGTGACTTCAAACATTTTCAATGAAATTACTCCGAAGACCAGCATAACCTCAGATTTCGCTTGTCAAAAACTAAACTTACCATCTTCCCATTTTAACTCTGCTGGCTAGTTTTCTATAATTGACACAGATAGAGTCAGTTTAGAGAAAGGAATCTCATGTCAGAAAACGCCTCTACCAGACTGACCTGTGGGCAAGGCTGGGGTACATTTTCTTGGTTGGTGATTGATGTGAGAGGGCCCAGCTTACTGTAGATGGTGCCACCCAGGGTGATGGTCCTGAGTGCTACAAGCAAGCCAGGAGGAGCCAGTCAGTAAGCAGCGTTCCTCCATGGCCTCTGTACCAGTTCCTGCCTCCAGGTTCCTGCCTCCAGGTTCCTGCCTTGAGTTCCTGCCTCCAGGTTCCTGCCTTGAGTTCCTGCCCTGACCTTCCTCAGTGATGATGGACTGCAAACTGTAAGATACAGTAAACCGTTTCTTGGCCAGGTTACCTTCGGTCATGGTGTTTTATCATATCAGCAGAAATCCGAATTAAGATAGAAATCTAAGAAACCTACCTTTTTTTACTTTCCATGACTCCACAAAATCATACACCGTTAGGCTCTTCCTATCCAACCTCTACATTGAGTATTCTCTGCCTTTGTGATAGCAGCTTAATTATTCCTCCCATAGTTCTCAGCTTACCTATCCCAATCCAGGTACATATGCCATGCTAACCGCAAACAGCCTCCAACTTGCTTCTTGCTTTCAACTGTTTTCTTTTTTCAACATTGCCTCCCAGCTACTCATCCTAAATGTAGATTCTCTCATCAATTTGCTAAATTATGAAGTTCAAACTCTTGGGTGGAATCACATGACCATTTATTAGATTGGTTTCTCCCCCTTTTCTAACCAAACTTTTTAGAAAGTTCACGTATGCATTCTTTTTCCTGGACCAGTTTCTTATTTCCCTGTGGCTTTCAGCTACATTTCCAACTGAGGACTTTTGGTTTATTCTAGAATATTTCTCCTGACCCTAGGTTCCCTGGTTCAAAAGCCTACATCAGAGCCTTCCCAAGATCCATGATAACCAACTCAGGTTCTATCTGCCCTTTCTTGTCCTCTCCTAGCCATCTGGTGGGAATTCAGTCATGTGGCAGCACTTCTGGGTTCTACTATTTAATATCTGCATATGTAACTCCACTTAGACATGAGTCCTGGTAGGCACAGACCAGTTCTGCATCCCCCGCAGGACAGGCCTCAGTGCTGTACAACAGCTTCCACCCGACAGACAAGCATCTTAGCCGGGTGTTTGATTATGTGGTTCTGTATGTCTCTACTTCCTATTGTCTCAGTGCATGTTTCACTCACTCAACTGCTCAGTAGGACTTCCAAGAAAAAAAATCTGGCAAAACATAAAGGAAATAAAGTGAAATCTACTCAGGCTCTATTCTCTAGGCTTTCCAAGGAAAGCAGTGACATTCTTACAATAACTACTCTTCTGAGATGTTGAGCAGCTATTAAACACCAACGTCTCATGGCATGAACCATACTGTTTGCCTGAGGACTCTTTTTAAAGTAAAAGGTTAATCAGTTTCTTCTGCCACTGCATATATATCTCTCAGCCAAGCCTTTTAAGGGTTGATAGGGATGATTTCCACTTCTCTGTGCATTGTAGCATGATTTATGGTTGCCACTCTTTCTATATGTCAATTTTCTCTGCCTCTGGGTCCTTAATTCTTTTATGCTATAAAATCAGCATTTGAATGTCCTGGCACCTACTGAAGATAACATGCTAAGCTAGGAAAGTATGCATTCAACTCTAGACATGAGTAATGTCAGAGCTGGGCATCTGATAATATATTCT